TGCACCCCAACGCAATGCTTGGCCAGGAACGCGGCTTTTCAGCTACTCACTTGTTACGCCGATTCACTTTAACAATTTCGTCGATAAAGTTATCCCGTCGTCTTAATCGATACATCCCCGGAGGATTGCCTACAAGTTTTCAATAGGCAATTTAGATATCGGATTTCGTGAGGTTACATCAAACACCTCACTTAGCTATTCCCGAGATGCGAGATAGCTAAGGCCGAGCGACTCCTAAAGATGTAAAGATGTTCTACTTTTCACTTCGGAGAACCACTTTCGGACAAAAAAGCTACTATCGGAGTAAGCTGTTTTTGCTATAGATGAAATGCAGTCTTTGGATCTCTTTAGAACTGGTCCTGGTGATTCCACAGTGGCATTTAATTCGTACGCGGGCATATGGCACGTGGCAAATTCAATACCGCCCACGCCATCTAGAGTGGAAAGCATCTAACCTACATAAATGCTAATTCTAGCTTAGAGGTTGTTCATTTGTAGTACAACTAGATCGAGACGACATAGCAACTCAAAGCGGACTAGCGACGCACCCCGTCTCGACAATCTCGACAACTTTAGCGCGGCGCGGGATATCCTTGTCTAACCGTACCTGGAGCTTCCAACCGAATTTAGTTGCAACATCATACCGCTGTGTTGCCTTTACGCGTTGAAGAATACCTAGACGGCTTCAGCTAAGGAATTTCAAGATGTGGCTATGCTATCAACTAGGTCTTTATTTTTACGAATATCTTAATCATTTTTATAGCTATCAAATTCCTAGCGCCTGGTTACCTTTGACCTTTACGGCTGTCGTTATCCCATTCGCGGCTAAGTAAACCCTCTAACCTAGCAAGAGACTTTACCTAGTGTAGGACTTTGTTGACTATCTCAACTCTTCCTGATCCAGGCACATTAACGATATCAAGTTGAACTTACAGGTAATCATTTAAAACATTAGTAAAATTACCTGGGTCTACCAGGATCAAAAAGCTTTCTAACGTTGGTAAAGTCGAACTGATTACTATCTAACTTAGGTACCTAGGTGCATCATCCTTCATCATATGGGACTCAAACCCCACACGAGCTATCCAATATGAGATAGATGCTATATCAGCGCTAATGATATCACTCTCGATAAATATTCTGTATGTCTTCGACAAGTTCGGATAGGTAATGCTGCCGTGCATGCTTGGACAGCATGGCTGCTGCAGTGGACTATTTGAAGTCGTAATCTACTATTTAGTCGCATTGCATAAACTACACTTGAACATCAAAGCCACTAATGTTTAACCAACGGTTGGATGCTATGCCTTAGCAGTTCCAAGATCCTAGGTAGTATTGAATCGGGTCTCCCGAGATCGCCTTGGTAATTGGCAAGGTCCGGACCAGGGACCTATCCTTGAATCTAGATTTTTAGATCTCAAAACTAATCTACAAATCAAGCTTTTGCCTCCTATTCCGGGTGCCCCTGACGAGCTAAGAGGAGAGCCGTATTAAAGCGCAAATCCGAGAGGCGGTCTCGGATCCATTTACCCGCACGGTTCTAATCGCTTGACGGGGGTCAAAATCATCATAAGCTCTCATATCTCATAGGAGAGGGAAGACTAGTAATTCGACCAAGTTTTCAACCACCCATAGTCGGTAGAGCTATTCCTTGCCGACGCCGAGTTTTTCTAGCGGCATAACGGGTTTCGATCTCGGCTCGGCTACGTAGCCGGGTATGCCACTGCACGTGCGGATGGTACGAACGGAAGAAGATGCCGGGAGCTCGACGCTCCGGTGATGTTGGAGTCAAAAGGACAACTGTGTTGAACCTTGTCGTGCCCTGACTAACTAAACTAAGTTATCCCATGCCTCTGGAAATTACCCAAGTTTATTTCCAGGCTAATGCGCCGTCGTGGGATGATGAACGTCCATCCCAACCATCCACAACGTACCCTGGGGGCATGCTAGGCCGTATGTGGAATACCTATAAGAAAGTTAACTTCAGAAGGCCCCTTGTTTCTATAGGGCTCGTAAGTACCCTTTGGTCGCGCAGCATCCCAACCTCGGACGAATCTGCGAGACGAGCCAGTATATTTCTTCGCCTTGAAAGTACGAGATTTCGTGGTACCCCGTGTCGGCTCAGGTAAGACGTGCAATTAATTTTTGGTAGCATCACAGACGAGCACAACTTGCTCGATGCCCCCACGAGAACCAATCGTGCCCGCTAGGCCGGTTATGCCGTTGCATGTCAGCCTGTGAGATCAGAACCCGATATGCTTTCCATCCGGAGCTTCTTGTTTTGTTTGCTTTGCTTTGCTTTTCCCACCCCTTCTCCCCAAACTTTGCAAACTGTGTTTAGTTTAGAGTGATCGCTAGTAGGTAGTCTGTCACATCCCTTCGCGAACCATTAAATGACTAAGCGGATCTGCACCGGGGAAGAGGAATAGGTAGCGTACCTACATACATACATACCTAGGTACATACATACCTTGTATGTAGATAGGTATGACCAGCGGGGGAACGTAGGTACCGTATATCGCTCGATGCATGGATCGGTTAGGATAATCAGGGCGGACGCATAAGAGGCTCAACTATAGCATATATGCTTTTTGCCCTATTTCCTATCCTGGGCACTTTTAGGGATATCTCTCAGTCACTATGACAATACGATTATCTGGTCAGGCTGGGGTGATACTAAACAGGCAATTGAAGAATGCGACTAACGAGCTTGTCTTCCCCGTTTCGACGTCCTTGACGTCAGATTTTAGACAAAGGAAAGACACGGCAGAAGGGTTCCGGTTTCACGAGCTTCGTTGAAATGAGATAGAGTATCCAATAGTACTCCAAATTCTCCGACAGAGATTTCAAATGCCGAGGCCCTGAAAAGGGAAAAGACGAGATGCCCAATCTAAGCTGACTCTAAAACATGCCTACATGGCTACCTTACCTAGGAGGCAGGTAGGTAATTAACAATACGTGATGAACACACACCCCCATACTACCCTCCCTCCCCCCCAAAGAACATATTCACCCTTCAGACCATTTGCCTCGTCTCCCCCCTCTTGCCGTCGCTCGGCGGTATTCGTGTCACTAGCTCGCGAGCCTATTTACTGTCGTGACACGTGAATCTCCTCTATCGCCTTCATGGCAATAAGTAAAAACCTACGAGTGGCTGCTTGCTTGCTTGCTCGACATCCCACGCGGGGGGGCGGGACTAGTATTTACGAAGATGAAAAAAAAAAAAAAAATCCCCTACCTTAGGTTAGGAGGTATGTATGTGCTTGGCTCGATTATGCCCTGAAAGCGAGCAATGTACCCTCTGCAATGCATGCGCGAGCGGCATCGAAACGTGGTGTTTCTCCTCCGCGCATGGCGCCCGCTGCCGTGCTACCCCAGCGTCTTTCTCTCTGAGTTACGTCGGATCGCCTCGTTTCTGGGTGGGAGGAAGTGGGTTATTTACTTACTTGTTAGTAGGAGGAGGCGGCGACGATGCGGAGGACATAATGGAGACAGGCTGCCGTGCTACTGGAAGTCGAAGTTTTTATATTATTTTATTTTAAATCTTTTTGTTTTCTTTTTCGTTATCTCCACGACGAAGCAAGCAAGCGAGCAAGCAAACATGTTGAGCGGTTGTTGAAGAGCGCGAAGCGCGAATCGCGGCATAATCTTTTTTATTTCTCGCGTCATAGGGGGTCCCCCCTATTCGGCCCATTGTCCTGAGGTGCAGATGCTTGACGTACGTGGGCGAGCCGACTGGATTGTCACCTTGCCTCCTTCCACTCAACGTTGAGGATGGCGGGTGAAAAGATTTGGTCTATATCATAGAACAACGCTGGTTTTGGAGAATTGGCATATATAAGCGAACATATCAGTTACAGGTCATATCTACTACCTGCAGTCCTGACTTCCTCCTACTCCCCCCTTTTCTCTCTTTCTTTTTTTCCTCCTTGTAGTCAGTCAGTCGATCATGTAGTCAGGTTGCACACCCCCATACTGGCAGTCTGCCCTGCGTTACGGGTACCCGAAGGGGATCCAAGTCCAACATGGATTAGGGTCGACGCCGTGCATCCCATGACATGTCCCTCGTTGGGCTCGTCATTATGCGGCCGTCCGATATGCCGTGCGCTTTGTGTTATAGATACGTCTGCGACACGATAGGCTCTGCGATCATGGGACGAAGCGCCACGCCGTCGCAGTCGAGAGGGTTCTCTGATCGAGAAAAAACCGGGAATAATCGATTTGACCGGAGGCGAAGCGAGGCGAAGGGAGCGATGGGGAAGGAAACCGGGGATGATGGATAGGCATGGCTACCTAGGCTTCTAGAAGATGACGCCCCCCGACGCCGGGAATATCGAAGGCTCGGCGTGCAGCGATTTGCCGCACGCTTTGACATGATCCGGCTGTAAGGGAGAGAACGGTCGGACCACCTAGGGGGTTCGGAAAGACATCCGGTGGACGACATTTTACTGGCTGCGCATTTTGTGTGTGTGCTATCTTCTACTGGAGGTGATCGTGAAGGGTTCAGTGTCATTGGAATCGTGTAATGTTTCTCATGATGAGCCTCAATATACTAATTGAAGCGCAACTCTTACAAGGTCTTACAAGTATTGGCCGCAATCATGTCACAAACTGCAGTATAGACGGAAGCTTTTAATATTCACTGGTAGGGCGTGGGTAAGGTGAGAATCTCCTGCCCTGCAAGATTGGAAGAAGTCATGGACAAGGGAGGGTTGAAGCTTTGGTTACCGCATAACGTCGTCGCTAATGTGGTGATTGATGCTGAAGAGTTGACAAGATGAGAGAATGCGTCGAAAGTGAAACAAAGCACAATAGGTGAGACTTGTCTTATCCCAAAATCGAACGATGTTGATGTCAAGCAAGCGTCGAATGATACCAATGCAGTGAGACTGTTACAATTGAATTGAAGCACATTTCAATTTCAAAAAAATCAGTATGAAACCAGGTAACTGAGAATCAAAGAGTGTAAAGAATCTATATATAAAGCTTCTTTAATGCCAGTGCCAGAACTGGTGTGTCGAGATCCTCGTCTAAAGAGGGGGCTAATTGAATACATCGTGGTAGGCCAGTAGTAGTATGTATCAACGATTTCGCACCTGCGACAAAATTCTATGAATAGGTTCCCACATCATCTTCATTCCTCACACCCGCATATTCGCAGCGCCGACTCCCCCTAGTGATTCTGATCCGAATGAGCCGACGACATTATAAGCCCGAATTGTCGCAAGCCCGTACCTACCAAACATGAAAAGAAAGGAAAAAAGAAAAGTGAGCGTAGCCCCCGGAGATAACATATATACACTGTCAAGATTATGGTCTTACACGCATAGGAGACCCATAGTAAAAAGAGATATGTGAAGCGTGTTCGCTCTAACGGTGGATGCCTTCCTTCATGAAACCGCCGAGCTGCTTCGCAAGGTCGCCGTGCATCATCGAGAAATGGTTCCCGGGCATGTGATAGAACTTAGATTTCCCAACGTCGAGGTACTCATCCCACCGGTTAGGACCGAAGTCTGTTCGGTTGTCAAGTAGGAAGAGAGCATGACCGGTGGGATACGGATCCGGACGCGGGTCGGTAGGGAGATGGCAGACGCCGTCTTCGCACCAGATAGCCGTCACTTTGGGGCACTTTTCCTTAGGAATAGGCTCTGCTGTGTAGTTGGACAGGGCGGTAACAGAGGCAGCGAAATGTGGCAGAAGCCACGATGGAATCTTCTTGGCTTCCGCGCTGTCGCCCTCACCAAGGAGGCCGATTGAGGCGAACCAAGCGTGGAGACCGGAAGGCAGGGGCTCGATGGTGATAGGGCAAGGCGCGTCGATGAGAATTAGGTGAGATACTTCATCGCCAGCCTTGGTCAACTGGTTCACGATCTCGTAGGCAATCACACCTCCAGCGGACCAACCGGAAACGGCGTAAGGTCCCTGTGGTTGACGACGCTTTATCTCCTCGATGAACTTGGTCGCCATCCCGTAGACTCCGCATTTGTATTCGTCGGGGGTCCTCATGAAGGGTGAAAACATACCCCAAACAGCGACGTCTGGTCCAAGCTCCGAGATTTCGGTGTATGATGTGGCGCTACCACTGCCGTCGGGAATCATGAATAACTGCTTAGTAGCCGTTCGGTGGTTGCCTTGAAGTAAGACGGATGTGGCCTTTCGGTGAGGGTAAGGATCATTGACCACTACAGACTTTGTTACCGCGGTGTCAGCTTTGGCTACAGCTTTAGACTCGGTCTTGACCTTGGCAGCTTTCGGTGCAGCAGGCTTCGGGGCGGGCGCCGCACGCTTGGGCTTGTCTTCAATTCCAAGCACTCGTTCGATATCCTTTAGAGAAGGATTGTGGCCCAAGAGGTCGCCCGGAATGTTGAGGCCGGTCTTCTCACGAAGTATACCCAAGATGGATAAGCTCATGAGGGAGTCCATACCAAGCGCAGCTAAGTCGGGAGCAGCGACAATCTCTTCGACTTCAACACCCATCTCGGCACAGATAGTCTCCCGCACGATCTGCTGAAGCTCACTGTTGCTTCCAGATGTGGCGTCGCCCTTTACTGAGCCTTTGTCACTCTCGCCGGGAGTAGTGACTTCAGAGTCCGACTCGATGTCATCGTCGCTGTCGGAGGTACCGCTTGAGCCGCTCGACTCGGAAACAACAACTGGCGTCGACGATTCGAACTGGGCGAGGAACTTCTTGAAAGCACCGATGGTGCTATGGTCATTGAAAGCATGGGAGTCAATGTTCAATTCAAGCTCTTCACGGAGGCGCCCACTGATGGTGAGACCCATCAATGAGTCAACGCCAAGGTCAGAGAAAGCGATGTTGTCCGCAAGCTCATCGTGACTAACACCAGTCTCCTTAGAGATAACGTCGATGACTTGAGAGGTAACGGAGGCCTGGGCCAGCTTCTTGTTCACGGCTGGTAAGTTGACCTGCTTCTTCTCCTTGACAGGAGCCTTGGCGGCCGCAGGCTTCGCAGCGGGCGCTGCGCGGGCGGAAGCAGCGGCGGCAGCACCTTGGGGAGGCAGGACAATGTTGAGAACCTTGCGGGGGATAGCCTGGAAGCGGATATCACCGCCGACACCGATGAGCTTATCGCCATCGAATATGTAAGCATCACCAGCCATCATCTTCGTGCCCTTAACATTTTGCATGCGGATATAGCTCTGGTATGTCTTCGACCCATCTAGACGCTCAGCAAAGCGTATGCTACCCCAGCCATGAGAAATATAGACCTGCTCACGGGAGTCAACGGCATCAGTACCGTTGACAATGAAGCCAGAAATGTGGCAAACAGAGTCAATCCAGTACGGCGGAGTGTGGAAAGTCCCGCAATCAGGCCCTGTTTGGAAAACGACTTTAGCAGTCGCCTCACAAGTCTCACTGTCCAAGATGACAGATTCCATGCCTCGGTATGCTTGATCGTAGTCGACCAGAGCAGAAAATAACTTGTAAGCAATACCGCGGCCGATCTTCGAAGCATCACCACGCTGCTCGGCAGCCTTAAGCGCGTCAATGCGTGATTTAATCAAGTAGCTAACACGCCCAAACTCATCCAGCCACTGCTGGCTATCCCCGAAGAAGACTTTGCAGACAGCATGCTCAGCCTTCTGAGCGCCCTCACCGGTCGTAAACGAGATATCAGCCACATTCTCGGCCGCATTAATCTTGACGTGCATGCGCAGGATTTGGCTTTCCAACTTGCTATTAAAGATGAGAGTCTTAGGTACTTCCATTTTGGCGACGTCCATACCAATATCCTTAGCATCAGGTCGTAGAAGTTTATAGCCGTACTCGCAAATAGTCATAGCCATATCCCCATAAAGGGTTGATGGCGTAAGGGTAGTACCATTAACACGATGGCCCTCACAGATCTTTCGCATGTTCTTCTCCAATAAGTCCGATTCGGTCTCGAGGATAGCAATGTCGCCGTGAACTTCTTCCTTAGTGACCTTCTGGACGGTGGTTGTCGATAGCTTCGGCTTGCTGGGCTCAATAGCCTTAGGAGCAGCCAAGGCACCTCGGTTCTTGGTCAGAGACCAATCGCCGGTGTACTGCAGCCAGTAATTCTTTAGGTCGAAGGAATAGGTTGGTAAGTCGAGTAGGCGAACCGAATTGTCGAAATCTCTGTGATATTCGTTCCAGTCAATGTTCAAACCTGCTGAATGAAGTGTGGTTAGGGTTGAGCTAAGAGTTTTGTATGTACCATCATTGCGACGCAATGATGGAACAGCAATTGTGCTTGCACCAAACGCAGCCTTAACCATGTTAGCACAGACAGGGTGCGGGCCAACCTCGATCCAAACGGTCTTCTCATCGATAACACCTGATTGTTGAGCAGAAACAAGGCCGCCGAGGAAGTTAACAGCCTCTCGAGCATGATCACGAAGGTAAGCAGGGTTGATAGGCTCACCATCGAGAAGCTTTCCGTGGAGAGGGGAAATGACTGGAATTTTGGGCTGCTCGAAACGAACCGAGCGGGCCAACTTCTCAAAATCGTCCAAAATCGGCTCCACCTGAGCTGAATGGAAAGCAAATGGCACCTTGAGCTGAGTACACTTGAATCCGGCGCCACCAAGCTGTTCGGCGATCTCAGCCACCTCGGTAGACGTTCCGCTGAGGACGGTTTCCCTAGGACCGTTGATGCAAGCAATATTGGTGGATGATGCGCGCTCACCAAGTGCCTCCGTAACAGTTTCGACCGAGCCTTGGACAGCCAACATTGCGTGAGTACCTGCTGTGCATTTTTCAACAAGGAGTTGAGCACGAGCACCAACGAGGTAGATGGTGTCACTGGCGGACAAAACGCCTGCGACGTGGAGGGCGGCGTACTCGCCCAAGCTGTGGCCCAGAACAGCACTAGGATGAATGTCCCAGGAAGCCCAAAGCTTGGCCAGAGCCATCTCGAAAGAAGCTAGGCCGAGTTGGACGACGACAGGGGAGAGTTTTTGAATCTCAGGTTCGCTACCATCAATAAGGGGGAGGAATGATGGGAAGCCGTGAATACGAGCGAGTTGGTCGTACTCGTTGATAGCTCGGCGGAATATAGAGTAGTGTGCGTAGAGGTCCCTTCCGAGGCCAGCATAGTGAGAACCTTGGCCAGTAAACAAGAATGCTACCTTAGGTTGCTCCGGAGTAACGGGTACGAAGTTAGACTTGAGGCGCTCCTTGATCGCTTCTTGGGCTTCAACCAAACTAGTAGCAGTTACGTTCATGCGCCAGTAGTGCTGGATCTTACGAGCAGTCGTAGTATATGCCACGTGCGAGACGGAAGTAGAGGGGTTCTCCTCCATCCATTGAACCAGGTTTTCGGCGTTTCGAATCATAGCGGCCTTTGACTTGGCCGTTACGGTAATTACATGATGACTGCGAGGGTCTACGGTAGGCGTCTTGTAGCGGGGTCCGTCCTCGAGCAACAGACCGGTGTTGCCACCAGCTGCGCTAAAGTTGTTAACAAAAACCCGCCTAGGCTTTCCATCCTTCCTTACGAAGGGTGTCTTGTGGAACGCGATGTTTACACCGCGTTCGCCGAGGTCCGTTGGGAAGGTCTTGTTGATCTCCTTCTTGATCCCGATGTGAGGCGGGATCGCATTCTTTTTCAGCATCATTAAGACCTTGATCAGAGCGGTGACGCCCGAGGCAGCTTCACCGTGGCCAATGTTGGCTTTCACAGCACCGAGATATAGGGGCCTGTCCGCGGGTCTGTGCCGGTTAGCGGGGGCAAAAATATCTGTGACAGATACCATCTCTGTGCCATCGCCAGCTTGAGTTCCAGTACCGTGCATTTCAACGTAGTCAACATCAAGCGGATCCACGCCGGCTTCATCAAGAATAGACGAGGATAGGATAGACTGTGTCGGGCCATGGGGATGCGTTATCGAAATCGCATCCGCGGAATGATTCGTCTGCGCCCCCAAGATGACAGCAAGGATATTATCCTTATCCGCTAACGCATCGTCAAGTCGCTTCACAATTACCGACGCACAACCGTCGGCTCGACAATACCCATCGGCATCATTGTCGAATGTGTTGCAATTGTGTTCCTTACTCAAGAATTGCCCGCGGCTGAGACCAGAGAAAATATCAGAGTTCGTCATGCAGGAGAGACCGCCAACGATGGCGGTGTCGCATTCCTTGGCCCTTAAGGAAGTGCAAGCGACTTGGAGTGCGGCGGCACTAGATGAACACGCTGTGTCGATGTTCAAACTAGGGCCACTAAAGCCGAAATGGTAGTTGATCCTACCGGGGCCAAAAGCACGTACACCGCCGGTAATATAGTACGTATCGACCTCCTGGGCGGCATTGATCTCACGCCAGTCATCTGACGTTTGGCCGTAGAAGGTACCGATACGGTCTAGTCTCGTAGAAGGTGTCCGGTTCGGCACGTAACCAGACATCTCGAGGGCCTCATAGGCAGTGGTCAGGGCCATGCGCTGCATTGGGTCCGTTTGCAGGGCTTCCCGAGGTGACATGTTGAAGAACCGCGGGTCAAAGAAACCCGGGTTTTCAATCCAGTTACCGTAAGGGGTGTGGCTGGTATTTATTGCTTTCCCAGTAGGGTCATAGTGAGTTTCGACCGGGAACCGATCAGCTGGGACGACACGATGGGCATCTATACCCTTCTCAAGGAGCTCCCACAGGGCTTCGTGACTGGCCGAATCCGGGAAGCGACCAGCCATGCCGACGATCGCCAACTTACAGTTGCCCGTAGATCCGTGGTTACCAATTGAGGTCACCGTAGCCTCGCGAGAAACTTGAGGAGGTGATCGAAGTACGACCTCTGACTTCGTCTGCGACCTCAGGACATTGGCTAGCGTGCCTGCAGCCTGAGTCGGTCCATATGGAATCACCAAAATTCGAGATCCCTTAAACCCCCGTGCCTCATTGGCGTTTCCGCTTAAAGCCTTGTGGAATAGTAAGGGTTCGTTTAATATCTCGTGAACCACGGCTATGAGAAGAGCTTTAGTGTCCGTCTCGGGGAATGGCGCCCCAGTCACGGTAGACATAACAACACTTCGGGGTTTGGATCCGGCGAGTGCTGCAGTGACAGCCTCATCATCGAGTCGAAGCATCTCTTTGATATCCACCAGCCCATGCAAGTGCTTCGCATGGTACGGGCCATAAACTGGTATAGCCGTTGGCCTCGATTCAAATAAATCTTTGCTGAATAAAGACCTCAAGGTTGCGGGCGGACCAGACACCGCGATGTTATTCGCGGATACGGCGCTAACATAAGCTTGCGCAGCTTGAGAGATTCCCTTCAAGACGATTAGATTTACTGGAAGGGTAGCGAATATCGAGATAATCTTACCTCCGATCTATGAAACTCTGCGAGGATGGACTTTGCCTCGGCTTCTTTGGCGGCAGGCAACACATAAGTCCAGCTTTCTGACTCTTCCGTAGAGGGGTCAAGCCTCTCTGCTAACGACGCTACGTGAGATCCTGTCCTAAACGCCAACAGAACGACTTGAACAGCGATTGGGAGGAGCGTCGAAAGTGAATAGCTCGACGCAATAGCGGTTGCCGCAAACAGCCCAGTGCAGAGCCCGGAGAGTTTGGTGTTTCTGTGGTCGGTTACATCATCGTGCTCCTTCTCGGAGCGACTATTCAACTACGTTAGTAAAATCTCGTGACTAACAAGAACTCGCTAGCCATACTCGATGTAGTGCGCCAGTTGGGCTATGCATAATAAAGCAGAGTCTATGCCGGGGAACTTCAACCTCTGCTGGTGGTATCTTTCATTGAGTTGCTGTAGTGTTCTGAACACCGGAATCCGTCGGCGGCCCTCCCGGGGCAGACGGTCCACCTCGTCCCTTAGAGCATCGCCGGCTAATCGGAGGAATTCTTTCGATAGGAAGCTCGGGTTCCCTCGTCTATAAAATTCGGCCAGGAAGCCATGTGTGTCGAGGGACTGGTCCCCGAAGAGTAGAAAAGCCATCTGGTCCGCCATCGTGTCTGTGATGGGTGAGGCTGGTGTTGTTTGTTGTTGATTAAGATATTCCAAGCCGAGGGCGGCGGTCGAGGTGTCTTTGACTTATATATATCAGATTAGCAGAACACCACTTAGATAAAGCTAGACTGAACTAAATATAACACCAGGACAGTGCCTAGTCCCATGTGTGATATCCAACTCAATACCCCAGGCGTCACGACTAGAGACTAAGAAGGGGGGGGGTGCAGAGGAAAACTGTGGACTCACACCCTGGTCTTCTTACAGTACCTCCAAGCAGTCCGGCATCATTCGATTTCTCGGTGACCGAAGGTCCATGGGAGATAAGCATTATATTTCCATTTTGGGAGAGAGTAATTGGGTGAGGGTTGCTACCCAGCTTAAGTGGATATTCCATGTCTTGTCCGAAGGTACGGGTCGCGGTAGAGGCAAAGCGCGTCAATCTCGACCTTTATTTTGGGCTGAATGGTTCCAGAACCGACAATATATTCCCAACTCCTAGCTACTGCATGCCTAGTAGGTACCTAAGTAACCTCACTGCGGACCCGTATTGATCGGGGAGTTCTAGTTTCTTCTGCCCTGACTGACTTGAAGATCCCTCATGTGGGCTACTAAAAAACCCTACAGCGTCTGACACAATAGGTATAGCTTTCTCGAAATTATGGGCGGCAAGGCTTGTGTACCTATTCTTTTCTCCCGGGTTTCCAATGATTTACTGTTAATCTTACTTGGGCGCCAGACGGTGGGTCGCTTGTTGTTGACCGTTGGGGATGTCCGCCGAAAAGTGCAGCACCAGTAAGCTTTTGATGCACGTCAGGACGGAAGAGAATGAGAAAACTGTGCAATATCAGCCGTATTCAGTAAGTCCCCGCCACGAAAATAAGAAAAAATCGAAATTGAAAACGGAATATTGTAATAGGGCAAGGTGAGACCATGCCCAGCCAGCTTAGGGAGATCATCGTGTCTCACTGAAGAATGGCTTATAGTACTGGCGCCACTACCGGTCGGTGTAAGTGTAATTGATATTGATATAGGTATGGTAATCAACAATTCTCACGCGCCGGATTAAGAATTAGCAATACAGTAATGCTATCTTAATTCTTCTGCTTCTGTGTCTCTATAGTATTCTCACTAAGGTGCTATTAACACATCGTGCTAACTAGCATCACGCCAAAAGCAACGTAAAAGAGCCGCATCGTGACCTTTCTTAATGAAGTTTAGCTCAAGCTGAGGATCTTTAACATCTTCAAGCATCTCATAGTTCGCCTAGCAGCTAGTGCATATATGTATGTTCGCTATTGATGAACAGGTACCGAGTACGACCGAGACTATGGTATGGTTATCCATGTCTTGCGATGACAGGGAGTAGATAATGTGTGTAATGTCTCTCGCCACTGTCTCGGGATTCCAACTCTCAATGGAACTCAAGAGCTCATGATGTTCTGGCATGTGCATGTGCATGGGACTCTCTTCAGCCGGCTACCCGTCGACATTCATCGCGCATAGTTTACTTAGACGGGGACTTGCAGCGATATGCCGGCACCCACGGACTAAGCTTTACCGCTTTAGGAAATAGGACAAGGATATCAGCGTGTTAATAGAGAATGCCAGACTTTAAATTTTCTAGACCTGGCGTTGTCCGTGAATGCTAGAAAATATTTGACATGTTGGTTGCGTTGTTTGTAAAGTTGAAGTAAGAAGGATGAGTAAAAATCCAAGTCACGTCTTTTGCATTCAACGATGTATTGTGCACTACGTAATTAGAGTCCCGATTTGTCATATTTTTCGATTACTTGCATATCAACTTGCATATCAATAACAAAACATCGTATTTAAGTGGATACTCCAAGTCTCTTATGAGAACTATTCAGTTCGCCAGTTTTGTGCACTTATCAATTCTTCGTAGATCTCTCATTTAACTTGCTGGTCAAGGTTCTATCCAGCATAGACTTCCCTTGTACTTAGTAACCACCTAGGTTATTTTATATATCTTACATTTAGTCTTCAACAAGGTATACACGGTGGGAGTTTTAATAAGAATCATCCGTTTGATTCACTTATATATGACATATGACATCTTCGATACCTTAACTATAAACATATCTAACCTAAAGAATTTGTAAAGATTGGATTAAATACCTAACCTAATAAAGCTTTACTTTAAATACCCAGGTACTTACCCCTGACTAACATCACTTACATAAAGAAATGACTTTAATTCCAGCCTTTAAAGACCCTTGTAAATACATAAGGTACCATCACATACCAACGCCACGTGGGATAGGGTATGGAAGTACTTTTTACATCCTCTGCAGAATTCATTTATCCCTCTTTTTATTTTTTCGTAAGTCGTCAAACTATATTACTATAACCCGTAATCCTGACCAACTCCCCTTTAACGCAGCTTACTTGTAACTCGAATCATCGTAAAGATCGCGTTGTTGTGCTATCTCATTCCCCATATTGAAAGATTATACCCTAGAATGTGCCGTGATGCGCGTCGTAAATTCGGACTTCAGGGTAGTAGTCTAAGCATCTTTTTGTTCCTTAAGGATTTACAGCTAGTAACCTCCTTCGTTATCAAAACCGTCAGCTTAGATATCGCCATCGAGGCAGACTACATCATTATTCCATTCATCCGAAGGCGAACCTTCTCCCGAACTATTCTCCTACCTATAGACATACTTATGAATGGGACATTGGCAAACTTGATTGGAGTTTGAAGCATCGGTCAGGCCACCCACACTGGATGATTACCATCGGACCTCCGGACTATTATCGTACAGAATCAAATCAGATATGCTGAGCCAAATTTATCATGCAAGCCGATTGCCTAACAAAGCTCTATCATTTAGGCCTATGTGATACAGCCCAGCTTGGTACTGTATTATGTTGCTGGTGCATTATGATCATGTAACCCAAGGCTTTCTCTCTACTTAGAAAACTGTAACCCGTTAGCCTGGTCCTTTTCAAGGGCTTAAAACGGGCCGACGAGTAGATCGACGTGCATGGAGCCATGCGATCAACTAAATCGGATATATTCCCAACTACTCAGGTCCAATCTAAACTAGTCACATATTCTCGCCTTGGCTGTATGGAATGACTCGAGGCCATAGATCTCCTAGCCCTCCATCTTTGGCCGTTCAACCCAACCTCTTTGTAATTGGTCCCTTTGGTCTCATTACGATCGAGATTATTAGACCCTAAGGAACTAGGAAAATTTCCGCTGACATGATCTTATCGGCAATCATCACTCTAACTTAGTAGACACCATCATCTCTCCTCACGTAACAATGCCGTACATTATTTCATCTTAGATACTATAGGGAAAACAGCCTGCTAGCTTACATAGCTTATTATAACATGGAAGTTAGTAGTTACTACTAAACATTAATACGCTAAGCTAGAAACTTCTTTTCAGGGGTATAACTTAATCGGCAGCAGGTTAAGTGATACAGTCGGTAAACATCCGCAACTTAATCGGATTAAATGCATATCGTAACACTATCATTCGCTCGTGATCCTACGGCTCCAAGAGACGCTATAGTCTCTCCTGATTCCAGCCATGTCTCCAGGATCATTAGTAATCTTGCTGATGCGCAGGGTTAGGTATTACGCAGAGTTCATCTAACCTCGTATCGGTGTTCTAGATGGCGCCCTCCATCTCTCTCGCCACCTTTATGCCCGTCTCGGACTCGGATCAAGGGAACCCCAGTTTAGGAAAATGCTGTTGACATGGTAAAAGCTGAATGTCCTATTTCCGTGAGTCCTACCTTAGCCCCCTTTCTAGTGCCGAATTCTGCATCTCGTCTTATCAATGGCCAGGCAAAATAAAATGCTGACGGAAGTTAAGCATAAGCTGAGAAGATATCTTGTGTAACTCCACGAAGGCCAGACCGCATCTCCACACAGACCCCGAGTAGGTACGTACGCTTCAATAAGCTGAGATCCTTCCCGCGGGGCTGAAACCACCACGTCGGTTAAAAATCAGGCATAGGGCTGACAGCAGTACAGTTCCACCAATCGTAACTACCCGTTCGTAGATATGATTACCAACGCATCCCTTGGACGTCGGGAATACTCGAGAGTCTTGTTTACTCTAGATAGATAACAAGGAGCAATATCTTAGGCCGCCAGCAAGGCCAAGTACGGGACAAACAACGACGCCAGGGGTTATCGCAGTAGTAGGATCCCTTGCTAGATAGCCGGGCATGGCATAAATGTAATAAATTCCACGTTTGAGTCCGTACTTTATACGACCTCCCTGCTCCGTAGTTCCGATGTCCAGTTCGAAATAGACGAAATCTATCAGCACTTAGAAAGAAGACGATCCGAAGTGCCGGGCGATAAGAATGGGGTGGTTTGTTCGAATTGCGCGTAAACATCTCAGTTATCGTAATTTGCGATGCATACCTAGGTAGACACCAACTTGGACTCTTTAAGTCACTCACTCACACAGGATCATACGGTATCCTAAATATGTTGCCTTTCTAAATCAGATTCCACTATCAAATTCCACTATGGTATAAGTCTAAACGAAGAGGTGAGCTTTAACTAATTTCCCCCGTGCTACAATTGTTAACAGTATACCCGTCTATGATAAACAAAACATGCAACCCCAGACACCAACCGGTTCGTGTCTCCTCCAACGTATGACAACGGCCTGTTTCAAATTGACCCTTCAGTTCGACTCGGTATACATAGAACTGCACAGCATATATTAGCTCTGCGTCTTCCGCAAGTATAAGCTTCACAATACGTACCCGGTATAATTGGTAGGAGGCACCGTGACGAAACCGTCCGTGTCCGCCCAATCTTCGTTCCCTGCTGCATTTCCCGTAGTGGGGATGCCCATGGCGTCGCAGACGTCGATGTGGTCCTGCGGAATCGTGTAGTTGCGGAGCTCCTCAGGGGCCTCGATGAGAGTGATGGTCAGTCCCATCTCGACGTGCCACTCGACGTGGCAGTGGAACAAGAAGACCCCGGGGTTCTCGGCCTTGATGCGGAACACTGCATATGACTTGGGGTTGACAGCCACCGTGTCTCGCCGGGGTGGTATGTCGTTGATGGCAACGTCAGCGCTCCAGTTCCCCGCCTGACTTTCGGGGCGTGCGAGGACTTGGAATTGGTGTCCGTGCAGATGAAAGGGGTGAATAGCATCGTTATTGTTATTTACGACGATTTCTAAGATCTCGCCATACTCGACTATGAAAGCATTGACTGGGCCGTACGCAGCAGTCTCTGTGTTATTTTCTCCCAGCGAGGCTGCGGTGTATAAGGCGGGCACCTTCTGCGCGATGTAGGTCGAGTCATTGAAGCAAGCCCTTGGGTAGTCGTTGGCGTCAAAGCAGTAGTCAAAGTTCAGCACTAACTGCTTGTCAACTGGCTCATAGACGCTCTCGTTATCATGAGGCTGGAAAGTTGTATCGTCGAAAGGCTCGAATTTTTGGACGGTAACTGTCCTGCTCGTATCCTTGTCTGAATCTGTGACCAACATTCCTGTAACATTGAATGGGTACAGAAGAGGTCTTGGCGGATTCTTATCTGCGAAGTCTGGGTTCACATCTAATGCAACTAAATACGGATAATTCCGATCTGC